CCTTGGAAATTTCCCATTTGTATGGAGGGGTGTTCTGGGAGGACATTTCTGATTGCTGACTCCTAACAGAGCACAGCAGAGGAATAAAACTGAGACAGACCCCAGGAAGCAAAGAGAGCAAGCAAACAGTAGTCAAGTAGTGGAGGGCAAGGGGGAGGCCCCTAACAAAACAAAACAAGTTTCGGAATATAATTATATGCTAGTGGACTTCCCCAGCATCCTTCAAGGCAGACAGACAAAGGAAAGGGCACACAAAGACAATTGGGGGGGGGAGAAGTAAAGACATAACAGGGATTATGGAGGGAAGAGATATTTCTTTGGTGATGATATGCAAAGTGTGTGCAATGTTATCCTGATATCTATTGGAAGGAACATTCTGCCAAATATGGTCCTTCCAAGACATTCCTGGATTGTGTGACTGATCATTTTCTCCTACAAAAAGTGAAGGATGAAACCGGAGTATTAAAATTGCAACTTGAGACTGATAAATAAATAGTCAAAGAATGCTTTGAATGAGCTCAAATCTCCAGGGCCCAATGAGCACCATCCCAGCGTATTGAAGGAACTGACTGAAGAAGTCTTGGTACCACTGTCTATTATTTTCTTGAAATCATGGAGGATGGGTGAAGTACCAGAGGACTGGAGGAGGGCTAATGTTATCTCTGTCTTCAAAAAGGACAAAAAGGAGGAACCTGGGATTTACAAACCAGTCAGCCTGGCATCAATCCTGGGGGAAACTCTGGAGCAGATTATGAAGCAGTCACTCTGCAAGCTTCTTAAAAACAATTCAGTAATAACTAGAAACCACATGAAACAAATCCTGCCAGACTAATCTTATCTCATTTTTTGATGGTGGATGGTGTGAATGTTGCAGTCACAATATATACTGACATCAAGAATACTGTTGACAAAGTTCCATATGATACTGATTAACAATGTAACTAGGTGTAGGCTGGATAGAACAACTACCAGGTGGGTACACAGGTAGTTACAGGATTGTATTCAGAGAGTGCTTACCAATGGCTCCTTCTCAAACTGGGAAGAAGTTAAGAAGTAGAGTACCACAAGGTTCAGTCCTGGGCCAGGTGCTCTTCAATATTTTAATTAATGGCTTGGATGAGGGGGTGAAAGGAATCCTTACCAAATTTGTGGATGAAACAAAATTGGGTGGAATCAGTCATGGAAGATGTAAACAACAGTCAAAAAGATCTTGATAGGCTTGAGC